CTCGCTGGGGCTGAGCCTGCTCGCCCACTTTCGGACGGTGGAGCTGCAGGCCCGGGTGCTGCGCCTGGAAGCCGAGTGCGGGGAGCAGCAGATGGAGACGGCTATTTTGGGACGAGTCAACCAACTGCTGGATGAGGTCTGTGCTCTTTGTTGCTGGCTTTTATCCCTCCCCGCGGCGCCCCCTCGCGCAGCTTCCAAACTCTCCATCCGCCGGTGCCCGCGGGCAGTTGCTATCCGCGCTGCGCAGTGCGCCCGGGAGCTCGGACAACGTATCCGAGGGAGGGGTTGGGGGCGGGGACGGATGACGCCCTACCAGGGACCCTGAGGACCCGAGGGGCTTACGCAGGCCCCCTCAATCTCGCCTCAGGCAAGCATATCCCCCCCCTCCCCCGCCCCGCCACCCGCATTCGGGGCTGGGAGCGCCCTGGGCGCGCTGGGCAGGTGGAGGAAGGCAGGGCGCGCAGAGGCGCTCAGAGGCGGCCAAGCTCCACTTCTCCCACCAGGGTGGGGTGAGAGCCTCCCAGCGCCCATGCTTGGGGACTTGCGTCCCCTGGCCCCAGGCCGAGGCTTGCTGTCCCCATGGCCCTCCCCATCTATCCCTGGAGGATCAGTACTGCCTTTTTCTTGCCAACGTTTCTTTTAAGATAGAGAGAGGGAGGGAGTCATCCAAGGGGCTGAGGGGGCCACGGGAGGCAGTACCTGCAGCAGGGGGTGTCCTGGTCCCTGCCCGCTGCCCAGACCACTGGGGCCCAGCTGTGGGTCTCCCTGGCTCTGCATACCCTCTGGTTCCTAAGCTGGGTTTCTCATTTCCTACCCTCTGGAACAGTCCCACAACGTTTTGTGTCTGTGTGTTTCTCTGGGAAAGGGATACTGAGCTTTCTCCCATTCCCAAAATGTTCATGAACACAAGTGAAAGCCTCTTAGCCAGGGCGATTTTGGGAGTACATAAAACCCACCCTCCCCGGGAAGGAGGGGCATGCAGTCTTATTGGTGCCATCGGAGAAAAGGCTGGGCAGTGAGGGCATGAGGCCTGGTGACTGGGAATCTGGACAGCACAGGGGATCCAGGGCCCGGTGATGGGGAGGACCCACAGGTGAGGGTGCAGCCATCTGGGAAGAGATACTGGAAGAGGCTGCTGTGGAAGGTTGATGGGAAAAACTGGGAGGGCCTCTTAGTAAGCAGTGATGTGGAATAGTGAGGAGCAGGGCCTTGGTCCAGCAGGTCCTGCTTTGAAGCTGTGCAACCTGGGGCAAATAACCTAACCCCTCTGAGCTGGCAGAGCTGTGGCGACGATGGCAAACATTAGAGCCCAGCTCTAGCTGTAGTGACATTGTATCCATTCTGGAATGAATGATGCACCGGTTTCCTTCAGCCAGGCCCCTCTCAGGTGCCCCTTCCAGGCAGAGGCTGGTACCTGCCACCCCTCTCCAGGGTGGTCAAGGAGAGGGAGGCCGCGTGGCCAGAGCAGAGAGGGTGGCAAGTTTGCCATTGCTAGTTTACTGGCTCACCCACGACTGCTGCTATCAGCTCATTCCCCTGCTCTGCCAGGCGATAGGGAATCCAAGAGGGCTCGGTCAGGCCCCACCGTCCCCTGGACCGGCTGGGGCAAGCAGGGAGCTCTAGGCTCAGCAATGCAAGCAGGCAGCCTTTGTGGGCTGGCTGAGTGCACATGGGACTGGCTGTGCAGGGGAAAGGGTCTGAGGGCAGGTAGGGCTCTCCGGGGTGTCTCTGGGTGCTGGGTGCTGAGGGACAAGCATCAGACCCTGAGAGTTTTGCTTAGTTCCTCTCACCACGCTTTCCCCTTCCTGGCCCCTCCTGTTGGCCAGGACATGCCCCAGCCCTTTCCCAGAGCCTTGCTTCCTCTGTTTAAGACTTAGCCATGCCAAGTCTCATGCTTTTAAGGTCTTGGGGCTGACAGTGTTATCTTCCATGCTGATTCCTCCTCATGAAACTGCTGCTTCATCTTCACCCCACTGACTTCTAGACCGCTCATCCGCAGAGCACCTGAACTGACCCCGTTTCACAGATGGGGAAACTAAGGCCCAGAGAGGGGCGGTAGGTCACTCAGAGTCACATGGTGCGCTCCAGGACTAGACCCTAGGCCTCCTGACCCTGCTTCCAGTGCACGATGTCCTGCCACCTTCTCTGTCCATTTTCACCCAGTCATTCAGCAAATGTTTCCTGAGAACCAATTGTGGGTCAGGCTGTGTGGACACACGTCTGCCTTCCTAGCCGCACAGGCAAACAGGACACAAAGGAGAAGATGGGTAGTGAGTCCGTGGTGTGAAAGTGCTGTGATAATGGAAGCAGAGGAGGCCTGGGGAATGTATTAACATGCAGCATACCTGATGGCGGTGGCTTCCTGGCAAAGTGATTTTCAAGCAAAGTTCTAAAGGCTAAATAGGAGTTTTCCAGGCAAAGGCAATGCGTGGGGGGGCCGTGTTCTTAGGGACAACGGGAGGCTGAAAGTCAGAGGAGGGTTTGCCTTGGGAAACTGAAGAAAGCGCGAGACTCTGGAGAGCTGGGAGGGTGGCATGATACAGGATCTGGTTGGAGAGGGACAGGCGGCCTTAGAGACAGATCTATGTAAGAGCAGTGGGGAGCCATGGAAGGGTCTAGAGCAGCGGTTCTCAACCTGTGGGTCGAGACCCCTTTGGGGGTCGAACAACCCTTTCACAGGGGTCGCCTAAGACCATCAGAAAACACATATATAATTACATATTGTTTTTGTGATTAATCACTATACTTTCATTATGTTCACTTTTTAACAATGAAAATACATCCTGCATATCAGATATTTACATTACGATTCATAACAGTAGCAAAATTACAGTTATGAAGTAGCAACGAAAATAATTTTATGGTTGGGGGTCACCACAACATGAGGAACTGTATTAAAGGGTCGCGGCATTAGGAAGGTTGAGAACCACTGGAGAAGGAGGCAGTATGGGAACTTAAGGCAGAGCAGAGAGGTCAGACAAGAGGCTAGTGCAGGCCCGAGGGGACTGTGACCCAGATTAGGGGTGCCAATGGGGTCAGAGAGGGGTGAATGGAAAGGGTGGCTGCAGTGGTGGGACCTGAGGTCAGTAGCAGAGGGTGTTGTAACTAGAGGGAGAGAGCTGTCCTGAGGGTGGGGATGGGGGGTGGCCTAGTCTGTGTGGAGATGGTCCTGGGTGGGGCCTCAGTCCAGGGGCTCCTGAAGGGGCTCTAAGGGTCACTCTGTCTAATATGGTAACCACTCGTCACATGTATATTTGCATTAATTAAAATTAAATAACATTGAAATTCAGTTCCTCAGTCACACTAGCCACATTTCCAATGAGTGCTCAGTAGACACCTGTGGCTAGTGGCCACCAGGCTGGACAGCACAGACATGCAACATGTACGTCATGCTGGAAGTTCCCGCCCTGTGTCAGGAGCAAAACACTCTGGGCCAGCAACGGTGTCCCCAGAGCAACTTGAGGCCCTTCCTGCACCCCAGACCTTTCCTTTCTGGGGTACGTGCCCCCAGGTGGGAGCAAACGGCAAAGGTGAGGAACGGGTGAGCGGAGAAGGGGAGCTGGAACTGGCTGAAACCCCTGGGAGAAGAGAAAATGCAGGGAAGAGAGGAGGCCATGGCTCTGGTAAAGCGTGATCCTGTGGAATGGATGGGCAGAGGGCTCCTGCTCTCGCAGGGCACACAGGCCCCCTGTGAATACTGGGGCCTAGACCAGGATTCCAGCTGGGCATTGCCACCCCCTGAGCTTGGGTCCCTACTCTAGAAACCCCAGGCCCTGCCTCCCTCTGGGGACGCTGTGGGACTCTCAGGAGATGGCAGATGGAAGAGCGCACTTAAAGGTGCCGCCCCCAGAGGCCATGCTCAGGACCACGGGAGTGCTCGCTGGGGGCTCCCAGGGACCTGCGGCAGGCGACCAGTCCTGGAGCAGGTGGGCCTGGGCCACTCCCTGAAGGACAGAAGAAGGGCCTTGGGCAGCCTATGCAGCCTGTGCCATGGCCTGGAGGCAGGAATCTAGGGGCACATTCACACCACACACCCCAGCGGGGAAGCAGCATGCAGGGCACAGACAGCCTCTGTGAGGCAGGAGGAGGAGGGAGCTGCCAGCCATGCTGAAGGGACCCAGTAGGAGAGGAGCCTGGAGCAAGTGGAGCCAGAGGCAGATGTGAGCAGAAGGGCCAGCCTCTGGGAGAGGAGGACGGGGCGGGGGGCCAGCTCCTGGGGAGCTGGGAGTGTGGCTTCCAGGCCTCAGGCCCCAACTCTTCCCCCATCGGCTCCGCTCTCCTGGTCTGGGACCCTTAATGAGCACTCCAGCTGCCGTTACTTGACGTGCTCGCTGTGCAGCGAGAAGCTGGAATGTCCCAAATGGAGGAAATCAGATGTCACCTATGGCTGGACAGAGGGTGTGCAGTGAAAGGGGGGAGTGGAATTTAAAATCTAATCGTCAAATCCATTTGTAGGCCAAGGGGGAGCAAAGGGGTGTCAGCAGCCATCTTCAAGGTGGATGTTAAGGGACCCCAGGCAGACTCTCTCATCCCGAAATACAGTCAGAGCAACCATTGTAATAGGAATGTCTCACATTTATAGGGTCTGTACAGGGGCCCTTTATTGGGTCCTTTCCAGAGGAGGGTTTAGGGAGAGATCAAAGCAGTGGCTGAGATGCTGAGATGAAGGTGGGAGCAGGCTCTTAAAGGGACAGTGTGTGTGTGACACAGTGAGGGGCGTGGTCTGTGAAGATCTGTGGAGATCACAGCTGCCTCCAGCTCAGTGATGAACAGACCTTAAATCCAGGTGCCCTCACATGCAGTGAGGACTCCACTGTGTCAGTCCTGAAACTCCTCGTCCTGCCCTGGAGTGAGCAAATGCCTAGCCTTGTGGGTGTAAATAGAGGGAATAGAGCCCCTCCAGTCCACCATTCTTGCCCTACAGGTGAGGACAAAGGTTTGAAGGCTGCAAAACCAGGTTTCAGAGACACCCCCTGTCCTGCATACGTCTCTTCTCCTTTTCAGACCACAGTTCACTGTCTGGCCAAGTGACAGCAAAGACATGGCCCATGTGTGCTCCACTCCGCACTCCCTGGCCCTCGGCAGGCCTTGCTCATCCATGGTAGCGCTTTCCCACCGCACTGACATACTGCCCCA